ATTATTGTAGATACTTTTTAAAATTAGAAGCTAAAAATTGTTTATAATTATTATTTTAGATTTTTAAATCTTTCGATGGCAACGGCAATGGTATCCTATCTCTTTCAGAAATACAAGCTGCTGTAATCAAAACTTATCCAGAATATAAAGACAATAAGCCAGCTATAATGCGGGCTTACAAGGCTGCAGACACTTCAAAGGTTTGCTGTCATGTAGAAATTATATTATACTTATGCGAAATATACATATTTTATTTGAAACATATATTCTGATAACAATAATGTTCAATCAGGATGGATTCGTTCAACTCGAAGAATTCGGCCGCCTCCTTGATCTTCTTCATTACTATAATGAATTATATAAACTTTTTCAAAAACTTGATGTAGACCATGATAGACGTATTACTTTTGAAGAGTTCAAGAAGGGACATAAACTCATGGGTTTAAAAGGTCGTTCGGATTTAGATCTTGAAGAAGAATTCAGAAAGATGGATGGAAATGATGGTGGTGTGGTTTTATTTGATGAGGTAAGCTTAGAAAAATGGTGTTTATGATAAGAATTAAATTTTTTTATTATACTTAATCTTTATTTTAAATTTTCAGTTCTGTATTTACGCAGCAAAGAGAAAATTACTTCAAGAAAAAGGTTCTTAAAACAAAAATTACCGATATAAACTTGTTTTCTTTTTATGTGATATGCAGTCAACCCTCATTTAAACTGAACACTTAATAAACTCGGTTTAAGCTGAATACTTTAAACTGAACTTTGAGAGTTTAGTATAATAAGAGTTGACTGTATATTATTTATGTATTTATTTATATATAAACTTGTATCAACTTAAATTGTTATCATTAATAAATTTTCATATCACACAATAACCTATTGGTGTTAACTTCGAAAACCAAGAAACTATAAAATGTAATGGAAGGTTCAAGGTGTGCTTTGATCTGTTTGAACAAATGTTTTATATTGAGTGCTGCTATAAGAAACCTATAAAATTACAATCAATTCTAAAATAAAAAAGTACCCTTTCGAATTCTATGCTGTTATATATAAACTTTCATCTTGTTCATACTCTAGCAGTTGTAATAATTAGCTGATAATATCGTATGTAATTGCACAATTCCTTGGCACGGTGATTTAGCATGCCCGATATCAATATGCAGATGTCGAGTTAAGATTTTTCCGAAATATGGCTCAAGGTTGAGAGAGAGCAAAAATAGTCTCTGAATTTTAGCTTTAGCCATCTGCAGTTTCAATCACAATTTATTATTTTTGCAATATTAGTACCCGAATTTATAGACATCTATTTCATATTTCAATTTATATCATCTACAGTATAGATTATATAAATTTTCTTTCATATTTCAATTTATATCATCTATAGACTATATAAATTTTCTTATAATTTCTTGATAGTTATATAAATATTTAAAAAAAATCAAAATCCGATTGAGGTCCGAAGCGAACAATACTGTTATGCCAACTGCTGATCGGTCGGGAACTATCAATTCGCGAATTTCATTGTTTGTTTCCGCCGGCATTGCATAGACGTGCACTCGACTTGTCTCATCTGTATATGAAACCTAAAAAGAAAAAAAAAACTCCTTATGATCGGGCTGTTAAATAAGTATACATTATTGGGCAAAAATTTTTGAATAACGGTAATTTTGTTCAACCGGGCAAATGAACACGTGCCGCAAAGCGGCACGTGTCAGCCAATCATTTGCCCGGTTGAGCCAAATTACCGTTATTCAAAAATTTGCCGAATAATGGTG